AGAGAGAGGTTTAGTGCTTTTATATTTAATAATCTCAGCCCACCCAGTTCATATTCATTATATAGATAGGCACGCTTAGCATCCCAGATAAAGCAAAATATTTTTTATTTGAAAAATGAATTATCAGGAGTAGGCAGCTCCATAAGTAAGTGAGTAAACTGAGATATGACTAAGGAGTTAATCAGTGTCATTTTTCCATTAATTGACAGTTATTTACCTCTCCATGGTTGCAGGATCTTGTCTATTTTTACTAGTTTTCTATTAAAATTCATTGTGGAGAGCTCATTTATATATTTTGTGATATGAATACCGAGTATGTCTACTTCACCGTCAGCCCATTTTATAGGTAAACTGCTGGTTAATGTAATAGTTGTGTTTTTTATAGATCCAATACGTTATATGGTACACTTATCATAATTAGGTTTTAGTCCAGAGACGCCAGAAAAGTTATCTAGATCTTCAATGAGACATTGCAGGGATATAGCTTGTGGACTTATTTTAAAGCCACAAGTGTTATCAAGGAGGATGTTTTTGCTCATTTGTTAAAGGCCCAGTGCAGTCAAAAACTAGATTTTCCTGTGTTTTATATATATTTCCACACTATGAAGTTGGAATAATACTGTGAAATTGTGAAAATGATGACAACGCCGTTTTAGTGTAAGAACTGTTGGAAATAGACCGCCTGAAATTCAGCCTGTTTTGGTGGGATGGAGTTTTGGCCTGCCTGGCGAGATCATAAGTTAATAGACCAATAACAAAGAGAATTCCAAACCTCTTTGCCATTAACAGCTAGTTTTCAGTTTTCCTCTCCCCACACTCAGAACACTCTCAGACAGTCCTAGCAAAATTCTTGCTTGAGAAATTGTTCTTTGCTAAGAAGCTATTTTTATTTTTTAAAATTTTTATAGAAAAATGTGTTACCCAGAAATGATTTGATATTGAGATAAAAACGGCTGCATTGGGCCTTTAACATCGCCCTTCAAGATTAACTTTAAAAGTTAAGTTTAAAATGATCATCATTTGGTGAGTGGCAGTGGCACTGTTTTTGCAGCTCGCTTTCTGTTAGGTATCTCTTTGAAAATAATGCGTGTGAAACATTGTTGCATTTAAAAACTTTAAATCACTGGTTACTTTGTGTGCTGAACAAGATAAAATATGTTTGCAATGGGAAGTAATAGCTGTACATTTCGATTTGGAAATGCTTAATGGTTGTGTTTTTGTTATTATTGCAGGGGCCTACTGGATTATTGTGAATTGGTTGCTTTCAACAGTAGGCTATGCTGTGTGTGACTGCTCTCTTTCTATTGGTGGTGTCTATGTGTTTTACAAAAAGTGTTATCTCCTACACGGAGTGCGCAGATTACAGTCGCTGTCCTTTCAGCACCACGAGCCTTTAACCTTTGATGTGTCACTGTTGTCATCGCTAGGCTATTGGTGATAGTGATAGTGATGGTGTTAGGCTACCACAGGTTGTTTAAGCGGTTGTTGTTGTTGTTGTTGCTGGTCGCATTATTCCATGCAGGGCGTGTGCGTGACAGCCCGATGCGTGGCTCAGGCCTGTTTGATTAATTAATGATGTCATCAAAAAGCATTGCTACTCAAATCACATTTTAATTGTCACATGCTTCGTAAACACCAGGTGTAGACTAACAGTAAAATGTTTATTTACGGGCCCTTCCCAACAATGCAGAACACAATAAAGAATAATAATATATATTTTTAATAAATAATAATAACAGAAAAAACACAAGGAATAAATACAAAATGAGCAATGATAGCTTGGCTATAAACATGGGGTATCAGCACCGAGTTGAGGTGCAGGAGTACGAGGAAATTGAGGTAGACACAGTGCATTCGGAAAGTATTCAGACCCCTTGACTTTTTCCACATTTTGTTACAGCCTTATTCTAAAATTGATTACATCGTTTTTTCCCATCATCAATCTACACACAATACCACATAATGACAAAGCAAAAACTGGTTTTTATACATTTTTGTAAAGAAATTAAAAAATAAACCTGAAATATCACAAGTATTCAGACCCTTTACTTAGTACTTTGTTGAAGCACCTTTGGCAGTGATTACAGCCTTGAGTCTTCTTGGGTATGACACTACAAGCTTGGCACACCTGTATTTGGGGAGTTTCTCCCATTCTTCTCTGCAGATCCTCTCAAGCTCTGTCAGGTTGGATAGGGAGCGTCGCTGCACAGCTATTTTCAGGTCTCTCCAGAGATGTTCAAACGGGTTCAAGTCCGAGCTCTGGCTGGGCCACTCAAGGACATTCAGAGACTTGTCCTGAAGCCACTCCTGTGTTGTCTTGGCTGTGTGCTTAGGGTTGCTGCCCTGTTGGAAGGTGAGCCTTCACCCCAGTCTGAGGTCCTGAGCGCTCTGATTGGTGGAGTTCTGCAGAGATGGTTGTCCTTCTGGAAGGTTCTCCCATCTCCACAGAGGAACTCTGGAGCACTGTCAGAGTGACCATTGGGTTCTTGGTCACCTCCCTGACCAAGGCCCTTCTCCCCTGATTGCTCAGTTTGGCCGGGCGGCCAGCTCTAGGAAGAGCCTTGGTGGTTCCAAACTTCTTCCATTTAAGAATGATGGAGGCCACTGTGTTCTTGGGGACCTTCAATGCTGCAGACATTTTTGGTACCCCTCCCCAGATCTGTGCCTCGACACAATCCTGTCTCGGAGCTCTAAGGACAATTCCTTCGACCTCATGGGTTGGTTTTTGCCCTGACATGCGCTGTCAACTGTGGGACCTTATATAGACAGGTGTGTGCCTTTCCAAATCATGTCCAATCAATTGAATTTACCACAGGTGTACTCCAATCAAGTTGTAGAAACATCTCAAGGATGATCAATGGAAACAGGATGCACCTGAGCTCAATTTCGAGTCTCATAGGAAAGGGTCTGAATACTTATGTAAATAAGGTATTTCTGTTTTTTTATTTTTAATACATTTGCAAGAATTTCTAACAAACCTTTTTTGCTTTGTCATTATGGGTTATTGTGTGTAGATTGATGAGGATTTTTTTTTTTTTAATCCATTGTGGAATAAACAAACAAAATGTGGAAAAAGTCAAGGGGTCTGAATACTTTCCGAATGCACTGTACATACAGGTAGGGGTAAAGTGACTAGGCAACAGGATAGATAAGACAGTAGCAGCAGCATATGCATTAGAGCTAGATATAATGTTGTGTGCATTAAGTGATGATGTTTCTGTTATTTGTATTGATTTTTGAGTTGAAGTTTGATTTCCCCCCCCATTGAAGGTCCAATAGTCACGATTCGCTACTGAGGCTGCATTCTCTGATTCCTTGATAGAGCACATAGAGAGAAGCTTGGAGCACTGTAGAGGAACACCTGCCCTACTGCTGGGGGGCCTGGGTGAACGCAGGTGTGTTTGACGCTAGTAGCAAGAGAAGAAGAGATTCAAATTGAACAGAGGAGAAGACAAACGCTATCCTTGCTGCTACTGTATATTCATGTCTCAGTGGGGGCCAGGCACCATTTAATGAGTTAAGTGAATATTTAGGCCACTCCAAGCTGAGAGCAGAGGCTCCCTGGGAGGGCAGACACACACCTTTGCCCCTGGCGTATACTGCTCTCCTCGATGGAGGGAGAGGGGGAGGGAGGGGGGGGAGTAGAGAGGGAGGGAGGAAGGGATGGAGTGAGTAAGGGAGTAGGGAGGGGGAGAGGGAGGGAGTAGGGAGAGAGGGATAGAGGGATGTCTGTATCTTAACTCTCAGTTATGTCATAATAATTCAATAGCAGTTTGCTATTGTCATTATTGAAGAGCCACTTCTGTTGATAGCGCTAGAATCTCTGGTACACTACATCACCAAAAGTATGTGGACACCTGCTCGTCGAACATCTCATTCCAAAATCATGGGCATTAATATGGAGTTGGTCCCACCTTTGATGCTATAACAGCCTCCACTCTTCTGGGAAGGCTTTCCACGAGATGTTGGAACATTGCTGCGGGGACTTCATTCAGCCACAAGAGCATTAGTGAGGTCGGGCACTGATGTTGGGCGATTAGGCATGGCTCGCTGTCGGCGTTCCAATTCATCCCAAAAGTGTTCGATGGGGTTGAGGTCAGGGCTCTGTGCAGGCCAGTCAAGTTCTTCCACACCAATCTCGACAAACCATTGCTCTATGGACCTCGCTTTGTGCACAAGGGCATTGTTATCCTGAAACAGGAAAGGGCCTTCCCCAAACTGTTGCCACAAAGTTGGAAGCACAGAATTGTCTAGAATGTCATTGTATGCTGTAGCGTTAAGATTTCCCTTCACTGGAACAAAGGGGCCTAGCCCGAACCATGAAAAACAGCCCCAGACTTTACAGTTGGCACTATGCATTCGGGCAGGTAGCGTTCTCCTGGCATCCGCCAAACCCAGATTCGTCCGTCGGACTGCCAGATGGTGAAGCGTGATTCATCACTCCAGAGAACGCATTTCCACTGCTCCAATATCCAATGGCGGCGAGCTTTACACTACTCCAGCCAACGCTTGGCATTGTGCATGGTGATTTTAGGCTTGTGTGCGGCTGCTCGGCCATGGAAACCCATTTCATGAATCTCCCGATGAACAGTTCTTGCGCTGACATTCCTTCCAGAGGCAGTTTGGAACTTGGTAGTGAGTGTTGCAACCGGGGACAGACGATCTTTACGCGCTTTAGCACTTCGCAGCTGAGCCGTTGTTGCTCCTCGACATTTGTCGAACTAACTTGTTGGAAAGATGGCATCCTATGACGGTGCCACGTTGAAAGTCACTGAGCTCTTCAGTAAGGCCATTCTTCTGCCAATGTTTGTCTATGGAGATTGCATGGATGTGTGCTCAATTTTATACACCTGTCAGCAATGGGTGTGGCTGAAATAGCCGAATCCATTAATTTGAATGGGTGTCCACATACTTTTGTATATCTAGTGAATGTTTATAAACAGTATACATCAGAGAGCGACAGGAGAGGAGGCACACATCATTATAAGGTGGTTTTCCTATCCCCTGACACCGCTGAGGCCTGACGTTCTCACTAACCAATAACGTCCCTGTTGTATCTCCAGGGACTCACCTCCTATGAGCATGGTGCAGATGGAGAAGATCTTCTCAGAGTCGGTGTTGGCTGAGACATTCCCGAAGCCCACGCTGGTCAGACTGCTCAGAGCGAAGTACAGCGATGTCACGTAGGAGCTCCTCACTGATGGACCCCCACCCAGCATCCCTCCACCCTGTCCCACCCCAACCTCCACCCCGTCAGCCAAGGCCCCGGCCCCAGTCCCTGTGACGTTCCACTGGCTTGAGTTCCACGAGTCCGGCCCTGCCAGCGCCGACCCGGACACGTTCCATTGGCTGCTGTTGGCCGGGAAAGCGTCGACAATGGCGGGGTGCAGCGAACCAGGAGCCAAAGTGGCAAGGGGAGACAGGAAGTAAGGGGTTCCCAGACGCTTTCCCAACTCGTGTAGCCAACCTGAGAGAGGGGGGAGGGGGAGGGAAGTGGGAGAGGGAGATGAAGAGAGGGGGAAGGAGAGAGAAGGAGGGAGGGAGGGAGAGAGATAGAGGGGGAGAGGGAGGAGAGAAGGAGGGAGAGGGGGAGAAATACAAAATAAAAGTTACATACAGATACCTAGGTGAATAATCCATTGTGGACAGCCTGTCAGCAATCCAAAGAAACACACACATGGGGGAAGAAGCTGTATCTTTGACCTTGTAGTTGAGCTGGGCTGACCAATGTACACACACACACACACACACACACACACACACACACACACACACACACACACACACACACACACACACTGAAGCTGACCCAGTGTATAAACAAGGCCCACTAATGAATGTCTGTGGGTAGTCTCAGTGAACTGAATAAACCAATATCATTTGGAATGTTACACCTCAGTTGTTGCCTAATTAGCTTGTCATTATGCAAGCTAGCATTTCTAGGACGTGGTTCAGAAGAATTGAGGGTATAATTTTGCTGATTTATGTGCCAGCGTGTGTGTAGTGTGTGTACGTGGTGGTTAGGTGTGTGTGAGCGTGTGTCAGTATGCAGCGGTATGTGTGTGAATACATTTGTTTATCAATGTGTTTGTTTGTGCACCCGCAGTGTGCACTGGGGTGGGTCTTTTGAATAGGTTTGCTTACATGGCTGTGTGAACATAACAAATTATGTAAGCAATTGGCAGAACTTTCTCAGTCTGCTTTTCTATCCATGCACAGCCAGATACAACTACTTTGCTGTCCGTGGTCCTGAACTAACTCTCTGACAACTCCTCTTCTCTGCCCTTGTCCAAGGTTCAGAACCTACCCTCTCTCTCAACTGCCTCCTACATTCTCCCTGCTGCTGTCCATTTAACATACAGTACTCTCTTCTCCTTTGCTCTGACATGATGCTGTCCATGGTGCTGAACTCCAGGCCAGAGCTCTATATAAGGCTGCTAGCAGGCTTACTCTCCTCTCTCTAAGAAACTGGATCATGATGCAGGTGTATCCCAGGGGGTTCCATACTGTTATTCTGCACCACACTCTATCTCTGTCTGTCAGTCTGTCAGTCACCCAGCCCACGTCTTTGAAAGACATAGCAGAAGAAGCACAGACTGTTCTACTGGAGTTGTGAAGCTTTGAAGTGACACTCAAAAGATAACAACCTCTCTCAGACTTTAGTCTTCACAGCATAAAAAACAACAGGTAGAGAGAGAATGAGGGGATGAGAAAGAGTGAGAAGGACAGATGGAGAGAAAGGAGAATGCTAGATGAGCTGCTGACAGAGACAAATTTAGAAACCACACACGCGTGCACACACGTGGGAAGTCACATCACACTGAGTCCCAGATATTCCATTTGAATAAACTGCCTGAACGCTATCTAGTGTCCCCGAGAACGAAATAAAATGTGCCATTCAAGCCTCTTACATCAGCCTTTAGTCAAGTTCTCTCCAGAGACGTGTTGCAGACAAAACAAAGTGGCCTTGGGCTCACAGTAGAGAGTCTCTCTCTCTCTCTCTCTCTCTCTCTCTCTCTCTCTCTCTCTCTCTCTCTCTCTCTCTCTCTCTCTCTCTCTCTCTCTCTCTCTCTCTATCTCTATCTCTCTCTCTCTCTCTCTCTCTCTCTCTCTCTCTAGTACTTCCTCTGGTGTATGTTGGTGCCAGTCCTCAGGGTGTATACTGTATGAGTAAAGTTAATCCATTAACACAGGATACTGACGGTCGGAAGAAATAATAGGTTATCACTATTCACTCTCCTACTTTCCTATCCCTACATGCCCTCTGAGATGTATATAGATATAGTCCTATACCTATTATATCTGGTGTTATAATAAACAATCCTATTAGTCAATGCTCCTTTTGTCACTGTCCTGTTCTCTTCTCCTCATAGGACTTAGCTCCTCTGTCTACAATATAGGCTGCGTCCCAAATGGTACCGTATTCCCTATATAATGCACTACTTTTGACCAGGGCCCATTTGGCTCTGCTCAAAAGTAGTGCAATATATAGGGAATAGGGTGCCATTTGGGTGCCCATGGGTCTCCCGAGTGGCGCAGTGGTCTAAGGCACTGCATCGCAGTGCTAGCTGTGCCAACAGAGATCCTGGTTCGAATCCAGGCTCTGTCGCAGCCGGCCGCGACCGGGAGACCCATGGGGCTGCGCACAATTGGCCCAGCGTCGTCCAGGGTATGGGAGGGAATGGCCGGCAGGGATGTAGCTCAGTTGGTAGAGCAGAGAGATATATTGTGGCTGTGCTAGCATGGAGGAGCAGGGTGCAGGGAGATTAATATTATTTGTAAGGCAGTATTATGGTTGTGCCTATATGGAGAAGGGTACGGTAGGGAGGGAGCAACAAGGGAGCAGGGAACTGAGTATCAGACAGTATTGTGCATTGTGGCTGAGGATGCATAGAGGAGCAGGGTGTATGCAGGGAGCAGGGAACTGAGTATCAGACAGTATTGTGCATTGAGGCTGAGGATGCATCGAGGAGCAGGGTGTATGCAGGGAGCAGGGAACTGAGTATCAGACAGTATTGTGCATTGAGGCTGAGGATGCATCGAGGAGCAGGGTGTATGCAGGGAGCAGGGAACTGAGTATCAGACAGTGTTGTGCATTGTGGCTGAGGATGGATCGAGGAGCAGGGTGTATGCAGGGAGCAGGGAACTGAGTATCAGACAGTATTGTGCATTGTGGCTGAGGATGGATCGAGGAGCAGGGTGTATGCAGGGAGCAGGGAACTGAGTATCAGACAGTATTGTGCATTGTGGCTGAGGTTGCATCAAGGAGCAGGGTGTTTGCAGGGAGCAGGGAACTGAGTATCAGCCCTGACTAAGAGCTGCTCCCATGGACTTGAATTATTGATATGTCTGCAGACAAAAGGTTCTGCAGCCGTTCACAGTACAACCCTACAGTATCTGCAGACACACACAAAGACACACGCACGCCTGTGGCATATCTGTTGATATGCTGTTGTTGTGAGCTGCTGCTGCTGTTGATGTGTTTGTCATGTTACTAGAGCTGGTCTATAAATACTGCTGAGCTATAATAATAACAGATTGAAGAGAACAGGCTTATAAGATGAGAGGGTTTCTGTGTGTCTGTGTAGGAAATTGAAAATGTGCTATTACATTTGGTGCTTTCATGGACTGGTTTGGCAATGCTGTTGGCTATGTAAGGCTCTTGAAAGAAAATGTATGTTTGACAGTCTCCCACTTAAAGAAAACACTGCAAAATGAAATATTTTTGTCTCAAATAAATTTAGCAATCTCGTATCACTACAGTTTAATATGAAACTGGTCCAACTTGCTTTTATACTGAGCTGGGACAAGCCAAACCTCTGCCAACCCAAACGTGAAATAAACCGTAATCATCCGAATTAATTAAAGATCAGTCTGACCTTGCATTAGCGTTTGAAAGGGACCCTAATCCCTCATTCTGAACCAACTAAATCTGACAGCTCAGGAATGGCTGTGGCTACCACCAACATCAACTCCCAAAACGTACCAACTTACTCGCCAATCAAGCTTTGAATAGTACAGGCTCAATCAACTTACAGTAATTGCAACCGATCAGGAATGGCTGTGGGTACCCTCAAAATCAAATCCTAAACTTTAGCATAGAAACTCACCCATCATTTAAGCCTTCAACCAGGAAATGCCTGTAAAACCAATGACAGTCTCTGAACCAGTTGGGTTCATGGTGCTTGAGTCCTGGGGCTGGGCTAAAGATAGGCAGCAAGCCTGGCTGTAACACTCTGGGGTACAGTGCCTTTGGAAAGTATTCAGACCCCTTGACTTTTTCCACATTTTGTTACGTTACAGCCTTTTTCTAAAATGGATTTTTTTTTAAACATTTAAATCCTCAGCAATCTACACACAATACCCCATAATGACAAAGGGAAAAATTGAGGTCAGGTGCATCATGTTTCCATTGATCATCCTTGAGATGTTTTTTTTATTTTTTATTACTATCTACACCTTATGGACAGAGTTAATTTTACAGTAATTATATTATATATATATATATATTTTTTTTGCTCCTGAACTTCTTCTACTCTCAACCTCTCCGATCATTTTCATGATGTCCATCCGGTTTGCTTCTATATGCCATATCTTTCTAACTGTGCTCTTCCCAAAAGCTCCCAACATACAACCTATATACTTATTATGGACACAGTATGCTTACATTATTAGCTATCTTTGTTATTATTTGTTGTTATTTGTTATTAGTCCCATCCTTCAACTCTATTCAATACCTCCCATCTATCTCTTAACACCATCCATATAGGATTTCTATTTGCCATATATATTTCAACCGTACTGTGATGTTTTACAAGAGTTCTGAACCTTTCTATTCTCATTGCTTCTAAAGATTGTGAATTAAAAATAAACATTTTTGCTAAAAGTATTATTATATTATTGATTGATTGATTGACTATGACTTTTCAGATCACCCAGTAATGCTATCTGCAAGGTTAGCTCCAGGTAAATATTGCAATCCTTTAGCTATTCCTGGACCTGTGTCCAAAAACAAGCTACAAATGGACAGAACCAAAACAAATGATCTAATGATTCTGTCTCTTCACAGCAAAATCTGCAGAGCTGGGAAGATTGTATCCCCCATATAAATAACATTCTATTGGTAGCAAGAATTGTATATAATAATTTAAATTGAAAGATTCAAATTTTTGAATCCGGTGTCGTTTTGCGTGTCAGTTCATAAACACTATGCCATGGGATCGGTACGTCAAAGATCTCTTCCCAACTATTTTGCAATCTATATGGGACGGCTGTCAATCCTTTGGTCCTTAAGTGAAACTGATATACTTTTTTATTTATCACAGTTTTCCTTAACCAATTATGTTCTTTAATGCAAGGCCGACAGACAAGTTCCTTACTTTCTCCCCCTTCCACTTTCCTCTTCCACTTTTGCGGTAAGGCTGCAATTATTTGGTTGTAATTTTGGGTAGAGCAGACATTTCCATATGTTTTTGTTAGCTGCATGTGCGACATAACTCCCCCAGTCCTACCGATGATATCATTTACGAAGATTATACCTTTTTTAAACATTCTGTCAAAAAATAAAGGTTTTTTGTCAATTAGTATATTTGAATTTAACCACAATATTTGTTGCATTATTTGTTCTGTCGTTTCTGGAGGATTAAATTGAAATTGCAACCAACTTTCTATGGCTTGTTTTAGAAATAGTGATATTTGGGAGATTATTTCCTTTTCAAATAACTGCAAATGAGTTGTTGTAATCTGAATAAAGGGAAAAAGGCCTTTCTTGAACATTGGGTGAGACAATCTTACTAATTTGCTTGAGAACCAGTTCGGGTTTAAGTATAACTTTTGTGTGACTGAAGCTTTTAGTGATAGGTCTATCCTTGAGATGTTTCTACAAATTGATTGGACATGATTTCGAAAGGCACACACATGTCTATATACAGTTGAAGTCGGAAGTTTACATTCACTTAGGTTGGAGTCATTAAAACTTGTTTTTCAACCACTCCACAAACTTCTTGTTAACAAACTATAGTTTTGGCAAGTCGGTTAGGACATCTACTTTGTGCATGACACAAGTCATTTTTCCAACAATTGTTTACAGACAGATTATTTAACTTATAATTCACTGTATCACAATTCCAGTGCCTCAGAAGTTTACATACACTAAGTTGACTTGTTGCCTTTAAACAGCTTGGACAATTCCAGAAAATGATGTCATGGCTTTAGAAGCTTCTGATAGGCTAATTGACATCATTTGAGTCAATTGGAGGTGTACCTGTGGATGTATTTCAAGGCCTACCTTCAAACTCAGTGCCTCTTTGCTTGACATCATGGGAAAATCAAAAGAAATCAGCCAAGACCTCAGAAAAAGAATTGTAGACCTCCACAAGTCTGGTTCATCCTTAGGAGCAATTTCCAAATGCCTGACGGTACCACGTTCATCTGTACAAACAATAGTGCACAAGTATAAACACCATGGGACCCCGCAGCCGTCATACCGCTCAGGAAGGAGACGCGTTCTGTCTCCTAGAGATGAACGTACTTTGGTGCGAAAAGTGCAAATCAATCCCAGAACAGCAAAGCACCTTGTGAAGATGCTGGAAGAAACAGGTACAAAAGTATCTATATCCACAGTAAAACGAGTCATATATCGACAGAACCTGAAAGGCCGCTCAGCAAGGAAGAAGCCACTGTAAAAAAGCCAGAAAACGGTTTGCAACTGCACATTGGGACAAAGATCGTACTTTTTGGAGAAATGTCCTCTGGTCTGATGAAACAAAAATAGAACTGTTTGGCCATAATGACCATCGTTATGTTTGGAGGAAAAAGGGGGTTGCTTGCAAGTCGAACAACACCATCCCAACCATGAAGCACGGGGGTGGCATTATCATGCTGTGGGGGTGCTTTGCTGCAGGAGGGACTGGCACTTCACAAAATGGATGGCATCATGAGGAAGGAAAATTATGTGGATATATTGTAGCAACATCTCAAGACATCAGTCAGGAAGTTAAAGCTTGGTTGCAAATGGGTCTTCCAAATGGACAATGACCCCAAGCATCCTTCCAAAGTTGTGGCAAAATGGCTTAAGGACAACAAAGTCAAGGTATTGGAGTAGCCATCACAAAGCCCTGACCTCAATCCTATAGAAAATGTGTGGGCAGAACTGAAAAAGCGTGTGGGAGCAAGGAGGCCTACAAACCTGACTCAGTTACACCAGCTCTGTCAGGAGCAATGGGCCAAAATTCACCCAACTTATTGTGGGAAGCTTATGGAAGGCTACCCGAAACGTTTGACCCAAGTTAAACAATTTAAAGGCAATGCTACCAAATACTAATTGAGTGTATGTAAACTTCTGACCCACTGGGAATGTGATGAAAGAAATAAAAGCTGAACTAAATCATTCTCTCTACTATTATTCTGACATTTCACATTCTTAAAATAAAGTGGTGATCCTAACTGACCTAAGACAGGGAATTTTTACTAGGATTAAATGTCAGGAATTGTGAAAAACTGAGTTGAAATATATTTGGCTAAGGTGTATGTAAACTTCCGACTTCAACTGTACCTACACGTACGCTACGGTCACAAGACGCAGGCCTCCTTATTGTCCCTACAATTTCTAAGCAAACAGCTGGAGGCAGGGCTTTCTCCTATAGAGCTACATTTTTATGGAATGGTCTGCCTATCCATGTAAGAGACGTAGACTCGGTCTTGAGTCTTTAAGTCTTTACTGAAGACTCATCTCTTCAGTAGGTCCTATGATTGAGTGTAGTCTGGCCCAGGGGTGCGAAGGTGAACGGCAAGGCACTGGAGCGACGAACCACCCTTGTTGTCTCTGCCTGGCCGGCTCCCCTCTCTCCACTGGGATTCTCTGCCTCTGACCCTATTACGGGGGCTGAGTCACTGGCTTACTAGTGCTCTTCCATGCTGTCCCTAGGAGGGGTGCGTCAATTGAGTGGGTTGAGTTACAGACGTCATCTTCCTGTCAGGTTTTGCGTCCCCCTCGGGCTCGTGCGGTGGAGGAGATCTTCATGGGCTTTGTCTCAGGGTAGTAAGTTGGTGGTCTGTTGATATCCCTCTAGTGGTGTGGGGGCTGTGCTTTGGCAAAGTGGGTGGGGTTATCTTTGGAAGTATGCTTGGGGTCATTGTCCATTTGGAAGACCCATTTGCGACCAAGCTTTAACTTCCTGACTGATGTCTTGAGATGTTGCTTCAATATATCCACATAATTTTCCTTCCTCATGATGCCATCTATTTTGTGAAGTGCACCAGTCCCTCCTGCAGCAAAGCACCCCCACAGCATGATGCTGCCACCCCCGTTCTTCACGGTTGGGATGGTGTTCTTCGGCTTGCAAGCGACCCCCTTTTTCCTCCAAACATAACGATGGTCATTATGGCCAAACAGTTCTATTTTTGTTTCATCAGACCAGAGGACATTTCTCCAAAAAGTACGATCTTCGTCCCCATGTGCAGTTGCAAACCGTAGTCTGGCTTTTTTATGGCGGTTTGGAGCAGTGGCTTCTTCCTTGCTGAGCGGCCTTTCAGGTTATGTCAATATAGGACTTGTTTTACTGTGGATATAGATACTTATGTACCTGTTTCCTCCAGCATCTTCACAAGTCCTTTGCTGTTGTTCTGGGATTGTCTCTAGGAGACATAACACGTCTCCTTCCTGAGCTGTATGATGGCTGCGTGGTCCCATGGTGTTTATACTTGCATACTATTGTTTGTACAGATGAACGTGGTACCGTCAGGCGTTTGGAAATTGCTCCCAAGGATGAACCAGACTTGTGGAGGTCTACAATTTTTTTTCTGAGGTCTTGGCTGATTTCTTTAGATTTTCCCATGATGTCAAGCAAAGAGGCACTGAGTTTGAAGGTAGGCCTTGAAATACATCCACAGGTACACCTCCAATTGACTCAAATGATGTCAATTAGCCTGTCAGAAGCTTCTAAAGCCATGACATCATTTTCTGGAATTTTCCAAGCTGTTTATAGGCACTGTGAACTTAGTGTATGTAAACTTCTGACCCACTGGAATTGTGATACAGTGAATTATAAGTTAAATAATCTGTCTGTAAACAATTGTTGGAAAAATGACTTGTGTCATGCACAAAGTAGATGTCCTAACATACTTGCCAAAACTATAGTTTGTTAACAAGAAATGTGTGGAGTGGTTGAAAAACGAGTTTTAATGACTCCAACCTAAGTGTATGTAAACTTCCGACTTCAACTGTATTTGTGCGTGCATGCATGGGTGTGTGTTCGTCATCAAGCCGGATGTGTGTGTCTTTTTCTGCAGTTTTCCATTGAGTGATGCGTGTAGAATATCAACGAGGTTTCGCCTTATTAAAATCATTAATTGTATTTATAATGACTACTATAAGGGAGACTGATCCTCCATGACAGCATAACTGCTGTTTCTTGATCAAATCTTAGGCTAAAATGATTAAACACATCATTTTGCAACAGCCAGACGCGTTAGAAGTCCTGAATTGAATGTAGTTACATCATGATTACAGTCATTGCACAGAAGGTCTAGTAGGACCCATATGTGTTATTTTATTAATTAATGTTATATTATTATACAACTGAATGCCTGTGATGCTGCATCTTGGCTCCCTTGAAAAACAGATTACAATCTCAATGTGCAATGTAGACATCCATGTGTACTGACCAATGTCCCAGGAGTTGGGGCTGTTTTCAATCTCTCTGCGTCCGATGAAGTACCAGACGCAGGCCATCCAGTGGGCCAGCAGGGCGAACATGGACATGAGCAGGGTGAGTACTACAGCACTGTACTGGGAGTAACGCTCAAGCTTCTGTAGCAGCCTCAGCAGGCGCAGCAACCGCACTGTCTTCAGCAGGTGGACCCCAAAGTACTGTAGAAACACAGACACATAGATACAGACACACATCTCGGGTCAGAAGGTAAAGAGGAAAGTTAGATTTTCAGTACTGTTGGATCTCTGTGGAAAGCAGTGTTTGATGAAAAGTGACATCATAGGTGTCAGTTCTCCTGCAGCTGCAACCCACAGAGCTCCTTGGTTATAGTTCTCTAGGGAACTGACTGGCCCATACAGTGGGGAGAACAAGTATTTGATACACTGCCGATTTTGCAGGTTTTCCTACTTACAAAGCATGTAGAGGTCTGTAGTTTTTATCATAGGTACACTTCAACTGTGAGAGACGGAATCAAAAATCCAGAAAATCACATTGTATGATTTTTAAGTAATTAATTTGCATTTTATTGCATGACATAAGTATTTGATCACCTACCAACCAGTAAGAATTCCGGCTCTCACAGACCTGTTAGTTTTTCTTTAAGAAGCCCCCCTGTTCTCCACTCATTACCTGTATTAACTGCACCTGTTTGAACTCGTTACCTGTATAAAAGACACCTGTCCACACACTCAATCAAACAGACTCCAACCTCTCCACAATTGCCAAGACCAGAGAGCTGTGTAAGGACATCACGGATAAAATTGTAGACCTGCATAAGGCTGGGATGGGCTACAGGACAATAGGCAAGCAGCTTGGTGAGAAGGCAACAACTGTTGGCGCAATTATTAGAAAATGTCAGAAGTTCAAGATGATGGTCAATCACCCTCGGTCTGGGGCTCCATACAAGATCTCACCTCGTGGGGCATCAATGATCATGAGGAAGGTGAGTGATCAGCCCAGAACTACACGGCAGGACCTGGTCAATGACCTGAAGAGAGCTAGGACCACAGTCTCAAAGAAAACCATTAGTAACACACTACGCCGTCATGGATTAAAATCCTGAGGGCACGCAAGGTCTCTCTGCTCAAGCCAGCGCATGTCCAGGCCCGTCTGAAGTTTGCCAATGACCATCTGGATGATCCAAAGGAGGAATGGGAGAAGGTCATGTGGTCTGATGAGACAAAAATATAGCTTTTTGGTCTAAACTCCACTCGCCGTGTTTGGAGGAAGAAGAAGGATGAGTACAACCCCAAGTACACCATCCCAACCGTGAAGCATGGAGGTGGAAACATCATTCTTTGGGGATGCTTTTCTGCAAAGGGGACAGGACGACTGCACCGTATTGAGGGGAGGATGGATGGGGCCATGTATCGCGAGATCTTGGCCAACAACCTCCTTCCCTCAGTAAGAGCATTGAAGATGGGTCATGACTGGGTCTTCCAGCATGACAACGACCCGAAACACACAGCCAGGGCAACTAAGGAGTGGCTCTGTAAGAAGCATCTCAAGGTCCTGGAGTGGCCTAGCCAGTCTCCAGACCTGAACCCAATAGAAAATATTTGGAGGGAGCTGAAAGTCCGTATTGCCCAGCGACAGCCCCGAAACCTGAAGGATCTGGAGAAGGTATGGAGGAGTGGGCCAAAATCCCTGCTGCAGTGTGTGCAAACCTGGTCAAGACCTACAGGAAACGTATGATCTCTGTAATTGCAAACAAAGGTTTCTGTACCAAATATTAAGTTTTGCTTTTCTGATGTATCAAATACTTATGTCATGCAATAAAATGCAAATGAATTACTTAGAAATCATACAATGTGATTTTCTGGATTCCGTCTCTCACAGTTGAAGTGTACCTATGATAAAAATTACAGACCTCTACATGCTTTGTAAGTAGGAAAACCTGCAAAATCGGCAGTGTATCAAATACTTGTTCTCCCCACTGTACAGCCCCATACAACCATTAGACCAACCAAAGTCAAAATCTATTACTTTTCAATATCCACAGTCCCACACACACCCTGACATCCACTCACCACGCTGACGTTGAAGGCATAGAGCAGGTCAAAGGGCAAGGCAGCGATGAGGTCAACAAACAGCCAGGTGGTGACGTAGTGCACACATATGGAGCGAGCATCGTACACCACCTGGCCCGACGTGCTCACAAAGGTCGTCCGAAAGTTCAATGCAATATCTGCACAACGACAAGAATACAGGATTTATTTACAATTAATTTCTTATTAACAAATGAATGAATGAATAGCTGAGACAAATAGCACATTGTTGATGGTTCATACTGTATAAGTTCATTGCTATAGATAGCGTGGCTTTATTGACTTACATGGCTTTTATGTTAAAAGGGTAAATTGACAATTGAGTGAAATGGTCCATAGGTGTTTTGTATAATTAAATGACTGCAGATGAATGCATTCACGTAGGCTTTTTATTTGTTAAAAACAATTGAGAGAAATGGTCCATTGCATGTGGTTCATATATAATTTGACTAGAGATGTATCGCTAACACTGCAGTTAGTGAACTTTTATGATGCCCATCTGTCTGCTAAGGAGAGAGAGAGAGAGAGAGAGAGACGATGGGCAGAGTTTTCAACATGGGCCGGTAATACAATGAACTAATAAGTGTTAATTACCATTAACTTTCATTCAAGAAAATTACTGTATTTATTCTCCCACAATGAATATACTAAGTACCTGTAGGCAATAGAATTAGTGTTGGAAGAAATTAAGGCAAACATCAACTCAATGAATGTCAGGGGGAGTCTGTGGAGGCTTGAGTGCACACAGTGTGTTAATGTATTTGTTTAGAGGAAGTTACCCAGCCATAGGTAAATGCAGTCGACTGAGTGACATAGAATGGCACTATCATAATGTCTTTAAATAGGGACGGGCAGTCACTGCACCTGCTTTAACATCTGCTAATCTGTGTACACGACAAATAAACTTTGTTTAGATTTTTATTTGATTTAGAATAGTGTTGAAAGAATGTTATATAATGCTAGACTAATAGATGCAATAGAAAATGTTAGATATTATGAGAATATCAAAATAATGTTAGAATATTGTTACCATAATGTTAGAATAACTTTAGCTATATTCCTTGTCTCCTTACCCAGCATGAAGAGGATCTCCACTAGAATGTCACTCACACTGGGGGGGCTGCGGGGGGCGGAGCTCCCTTCATCCCGCCCCCCCACCACAGTGAAACACACATTATAGGGCACCGTGACTGCCACATAGAAGGTAGCCAGCAGGATTAGCCAATCCCAGCCTGCCTTGAAGGTCCCGTAGTGGAGCAGGATGAATCGGGACTTCTGAATGGCTGCCACCTTGTACTCTGGGATGGGCGGTTTGTCCCCAAACATGTTCTGGAGGGGTGAGGAGAAAGATAGGCACGTCAATAACAGGATTTTCATGACAACATGACCTAAGCAGGAAAAACTCCAGGTTCTGGTTTGTTCTAGTTCTAGCCCATAGAATAGGAAAAACTCCAGGTTCTGGTTTGTTCTAGTTCTAGCCCATAGAATAGGAAAAACTCCAGGTTCTGGTTTGTTCTAGTTCTAGCCCATAGAATAGTAAGGAGTAGTTCTCTCTTTTGAAAACGACTGCATGTCTACATGGACAGAAATATGAACGCAATCCTATTTTCACCAAAGTCAAAGAGAACCTGCTCAGCTCAGTCAGTCAGAACCTTCTCAGTCAACCTTCATCCCATCTGTACCCTTCAGTAAACATTATTTATTAATGTATTTCAGCAAACTCAGTTTAATCCTGGAATGAAAACTCAGCAACATGACTATCATTGTAAATCCTGTGAACTTGACCCTGGGCTTTGGACTGAAGACACTGTACACTGTGGGTTGGATGGGCATGGTCTGAAGCTACAAGGTTAATCTATTCGATATCTATGTGTTGTTCAGGATTGTCCTCAAAGCAAGCTTACTCAATGTCATTGTAGCGCTCCTTGAGATGTGGCTGGACACTTAGCTGTCAAGGCAAGGCGTGTGCGTGTACAGATGTAGGATCTTAATTTGATCACTCTTTTGTTGATGAGAACTTTCCTGTACAGCAAAAAATGCAAACTTGTAGTCTATTCAAGGTTTCAAAAGGCTTCTAACGTTTGTAATTTCCACTTTAAAATGTCAGACTTGATTTACCCTAATTATTTTCCATTAATTATAATCCACATAATAATTCACATTTCCTGTTGCTGCAGGATTATTTTCCTGCTGTAGCAAACTGGCTCAAATTAAGATCCTACATCTGTATGTGTGTGTGTTTGTGTTTGTTTGTGTGTGTGTGTGTGTGTGTGCGCGCGCACGTGTGTGTGTGTGTGTGTGTGACTCAGGGCAACTCACGTTGTTGAGCTTGATCTTGCTTTTGTCCTGTTTCTGCAGGTGTCCAGACAGGTGGTAGAGTACGGCCCGGCTGCGTCTGCGGTTGGTGTTGAAGCCTGGGGGACGGGTGACCTTGTGCACTTCCAGACCCGTCTCCTCATCTGGGGACAGAGAGAATGTCGTTGAATTCATGAATCCTTTAATGAATTATTTTGTATACATTTTATTTTATTTGACACATTTAACCTGTTAAACGCTGAGCGGTTGTTTTGGGCCCTGAACAGGGCTCTGTGAGTTTGGGGGGTCACCCCCAAAATAAGATTAATCAGAAAATAGAAAGTGACATATCATTTGAAAGCTACAGGCCTTGGTAATGTCATAAGAAGTTTGAAGCTTCACCACCTGTCTGTGTCTTATTTCCAAAAAACAAACTCCATAACTTGAAAGCCCTGATTGGTAGGGTCATTTTAAGATGATATGCTTGAAAATCCGTGCAGCTATTTTGGCACAGTGACTCACTACCCAAACCAGACACAACTGGTTTCATGTGGCCAAGAGACGTCATGTTCCAAGTTGAAACCCCGACTAGCCAGGGGCTCTAAGTGACCGCTTATGTCGCTTATGCCTGGAGCCGGCCCTGAGGACACCTGTACTGCCACGAGGGTCCACACAAAATGTAATGTTCTCATTCCCTAGAGTAGTAGATAGGGATTGTATGGAAATGTCAAAACTATTTTCAGAGTTTAAACCAACCAGACAGAATAGCCAAGTCTCCCTCCCTCCCTCCCTCCCTCCCTCCCTCCCTCCCTCCAGTGTTACACACTAATTCTTATAACAGTGTAAAACATGTATGCTGATGAAGCTCTTTAAAGGTTACAGTCATTACATCTTCGTGATAAATCACTGAACAAAAAACATGAACACCTCTCTCTCTCCCTCCATCCCTCCCTCTATCCCTTCCTCCATGCCTATTTGTCAACTCTATCTCCCATGGTGTCATTTCACTCTGTAATTCACAGTGAAAAAATGTAATAATCCTGTGTGGTGTCTGGGTCAAAACTGAAGCTGAAAAAAGCAGAATAAAGCTGTGTCCTCTGTAGCCAAATAAGATTTGCATCATAACAGTCACAGAGAGTGGCAATGTCAGAGTTTCTCTCTTTCCCTGTCTCTGTCTCTCTGTCTCTCTTTCATTTTAGTCATTTAGCAGACGCTCTTATCCAGAGCGACTTACAGTTAGTGAGTGCATACATAATAATTTTTTTTCATACTGGCCCCCCGTGGGAATCAAACCCACAACCCTGGCGTTGCAAACGGCATGCTCTACCAACTGAGCTACATCCCTGCCGGCCATTCCCTCCCCTACCCTGGACGAATTGTGCGCCGCCCAATGGGTCTCCCGGTCGCGGCCTGCTACGACAGAGCCTGGATTCGAACCAGGATCTCTAGTGGCACAGCTAGCACTGCGATGCAGTGCCTTAGACCACTGCGCCACTCTTTCCCTGTCTCTGGCTCTCTCTCTCTGTTTCTCTCTGTCTCTCTCTCTTTCCCTGTCTCTGTCTCTCTCTCGCTCTGTTTCTCTCTGTCTCTCTCTCTTTCCCTGTCTCTGTCTCTCTCTCGCTCTGTTTCTCTCTGTCTCTCTCTCTTTCCCTGTCTCTGTCTCTCTCTCTGTTTCTCTCTGTCTCTCTCTCTTTCCCTGTCTCTGTCTCTCTCTCGCTCTGTTTCTCTCTGTCTCTGTCTCTCTCTCGCTCTCTCTCTCTCTCTCTCTCTCTCTCTCTCTCTCTCTCTCTCTCTCGCTGTCTTTCTCTCTTTCTCTCACTCTCTATCTCGTCTCTCTACTCCCTCCCAAATTAACCCAGGTTAATTCTGACTTTAACCCATGTTAACTCAGAATCTAAGTCAAGTTAATTCAGAGTCTAACCCAGGTTAAATCAGCCTCCACCCCAATTTTAACTCACCAGTCTCTAACCCAGGTTAACTTAGCTTCTAACCCTGTCATGAGCCTCTCACTCCACCGGGTTACCACCTTAATTTTCTTCCACTCTGCTCACCACTCTCTCTACTCAGCCTAACTAGCTCCACCTGTCCCTGCTCTGCTCTGCTCTAATTACTCTGCCAGCTGCGCTGCATTACCCACTACCTCTCCCAGTATTTAAGGCCCTGTCTTTCAGCTCTCCGGTGTCAGATCGTCTGCAAAGCTCACACCCGGAACCTGTTTGCTCGCGCTTCTGGCTCACCCTGGTTTTGTGACCCCGGTCCTGCCTGAATTTTTGGATACTCTTCTGCCCCAGGAGATCCAGACCTGCTTCTGCCATAACGACTCCTGACTACTCTTCAATCCCGGTAACTCTGACCAGCCTTCTGCCTTGCTACTACGTATTTTGGATTTCCCTTGAACTGTACTGCTGCCTTGTTTCATTCCGCCCTGTTGTGTCTGTGTCTCCCCCCCCCCCAGGACTTCTGGACCACCCACCACCGGCTTCATAGGACGCATCGCTGCCACTGGGGGGGGCACAGACCCAGCACATTGGACGGGATCCCTGTTACCCCTGGAGCCTTCATTCACTCCCTACTTCCCTTTTCCCTTAAGTTTTAATAAACTTTCTGGTGTGACGCAATTGTGGTCCTCTGGTCGTCTGTCTGAATCGTGACAGTACGATCTGACCATTATGGACTCAGCGCACACTTTCCCCGACATGGAAACCGATGAGCATGAGCAGCAGTTCCAGCAGCAGCAACAACAACTCGCCATGATCATTCAACTCCTCACCAACCTTACCCCAGCCAGTCTGCCCACCAGCCCTGCCCCCGAGTTACCTGCCCCGGTCATTGCAGCCGCTGCTCCGGAACCCAAGATTGGAAACCCCGAGCGGTTCAACGGCGATTCAACCCAGGTCCGGCCATTCCTGACTAGCTGCCGACTTCAGTTCTCCTTGCAGCCAAGGACCTTCGCCACGGAGGGGGCTAAAGTTGGGTATGCCATCACTCACCTGACGGGCCGAGCTCGACTCTGGGGAACAGCAGAGTTCGAACGTCAAACCCCCGCATGTGCAACCTTCGACCTGTTTGCTGAGGAGATGCTGAAGGTGTTTGACCTGGATTCACCAACCGCAGAGGCGTCTCGTGAACTGTTCAGTATTCGACAAGGCAGACGTACAGTCGCAGACCATTCCATCGACTTCCGAACCCTGGCTAGACGAAGTTCTTGGAACACACCATCGTTGGTGGACGCGTTCTTCCATAGTTTGGCTGACTATATCAAGGACGAGTTGGTCTCCCATGAACTGCCTTCCACTCTTGATGAAGCCATCGCACTGACTGTCAGGATCGACAGAAGGATACAGACCCGTCGTCGTGAGAGGGGGCGCCAAGGTCCACCTACTACCGGCATTCGGAGAGATCCGACTGGGCTCCTGTCATCTACTGCCACTCACCCAGGTCAGCTTGATCAGTCTGAGCCTATGGAGATTGGGCGAGCCTCTCTCACTCCTGCAGAGCGCCAGCGCCGCTTCACCTCTAACCTCTGCCTCTATTGTGGAGGTGATGGACATCGTGTGGTAACCTGCCCTTTAAAGGGCCGAAGCTCACCGGGCATAGGGGGAGTCCGGTTGAGTTCAATGACCATCCAGTCCTCCGACCGCAAACCCCTGCTGCAAGTTCACCTCCGCCTCTCTGACTCAACTCACACCCTGGCTGCTCTGGTGGATTCTGGCGCCGAAGCCAACATAATGGACATCAAGCTGGCACGCCAACTGGGACTGGAGAACCTCCGTTTGACACCTCCTATTCCTGCCCGGGCACTGGACGGACACTTACTCGGATCGGTCACTCATGTCACGGCCCCGGTCTCGATGGGTCTGTCCGGAAACCATCAAGAAACTATCCAGTTTCACCTGCTCCCCTCTCCAGGCCAACCCCTCATCCTGGGTTACCCATGGCTCCGCCGGCACAACCCTCAGCTCGACTGGGTGACCGGGGTGATCAGGGAGTGGGGAGAGGACTGCCACCGAACCTGCCTGCTTGCTGCCGCACTACCCCCTCGGCCAGTACCTACTAACTCCGCTCCTGACCTCTCCAATGTCCCAGAATGCTACCATGGTCTCAGAGAGGTGTTTAACAAAGCAAGAGCCACATCTCTGCCCCCTCACCGACCGTACGACTGTGCCATCGACCTCCTCCCTGGAACAGCCCCTCCAAAGGGTCGTCTTTATTCGTTGTCTGCTCCTGAAAGAAAGTCCATGGAGGACTACATCAATGGCTCTCTGTCCGCAGGATTAATCCGTTCATCTTCATCTCCTGCTGGTGCTGGCTTCTTCTTTGTGGGGAAGAAGGACGGATCTCTTCGCCCCTGCATCGACTACAGGGGACTCAACGACATCACAGTGAAAAACCGTTACCCTCTGCCTCTGCTCACCTCTGCTTTTGAGTTGCTCCAGGGAGCCACTGTTTTTACCAAGTTGGATCTCAGAAACGCTTACCACCTAGTGCGGATCCGGGAGGGAGATGAATGGAAAACCGCATTCAATACACCAACAGGCCACTACGAGTATCTGGTTATGCCTTTTGGCCTCACCAATGCTCCTGCTGTGTTCCAGGCTCTAGTGAATGATGTACTGCGGGACATGTTAAACAAGTTTGTCTTCGTTTACCTGGATGACATCTTAATCTACTCCAGAAACCTGTCTGAACACACCCGCCATGTCCAGCAAGTCCTTCATCGCCTTCTGGAGAATTCCCTCTACGCCAAGGCAGAGAAATGTGAGTTTCACGTCAAGACAGTGGCCTTCCTGGGGTACATAGTGGCAGAGGGAAGTATCCAAATGGATCCTGCCAAAGTATCAGCAGTCACTTCATGGCCAGTTCCGGAGAACAGAAAGAAGCTGCAACAGTTTCTGGGGTTTGCTAACTTCTATAGAAAGTTTATCCGGAACTACAGTACCGTTGCTGCCCCTCTCACTGCTCTAACCAGCACCAAGCAACCCTTCACCTGGACCCCAGCAGCCGACAAGGCCTTCAGTACCCTCAAGGTGAGGTTCACCTCCGCTCCCATCCTCCAGATGCCTGATGTGGACCGGCAATTCATTGTGGAGGTGGACGCCTCGGATGTGGGAGTTGGTGCTGTGATTTCTCAGTGGGCTGCGGAGGATAGGAAGCTCCATCCCTGTGCCTTTTTCTCACGTCGGTTGTCCCCCTCTGAGTGCAATTACGACATAGGGAACCGTGAGCTGCTGGCTGTGAAGCTTGCCTTGGAGGAGTGGCGTCACTGGCTGGAGGGGTCCACCATTCCATTTCTCGTTTGGACCGATCATAAGAACTTGGAGTACATCCGCACGGCCAAACGGTTGAACTCCAGGCAGTCCCGCTGGGCCCTGTTCTTCACCAGGTTTAATTTCACTCTGTCATACCGGCCTGGATCACGTAACACCAAGCCAGACGCCCTCTCCCGTCAATTCCAGAAGGATGACACCCCCTCCAAGGACCCTGTGTCGATTCTGCCAAGTCCCTGCATCGTTGCAGCTCTGACCTGGGCTGTTGAGGAACAGGTGCTGGAGGCTCTCCGTAACCAGCCAGGTCCCAGCACTTGCCCAGCTGACCGCCTTTTTGTCCCCGAAGACCTGAGGTCCCAGGTCGTTCAGTGGGGACATGACTCCCGCCTAGCTTGTCACCCTGGCTCCACCCGCACTTACAACCTGCTCGCCCAGAGGTTCTGGTGGCCCTCTCTGAGAAAGGATGTACGGGAATTCGTCCAAGCCTGCCCCATCTGCAACCAACACAAGTCGTCCTGCCAGCCCCCAGCCGGATTGCTGCAGCCCCTGCCTGTGCCCAGACGTCCCTGGTCTCACATCGCCCTTGACTTTGTCACGGGGCTGCCCCCTTCAAGGGGCATGACCGTCATTCTCACCATAGTTGACCGTTTCAGCAAGATGGCACACTTCATTCCCCTCCCCAAGCTCCCAACCGCCAAGGAGACCGCCCAGGTGGTCCTGGAACACGTCTTCCGGATCCACGGACTGCCAAAGGATGTAGTTTCTGACCGTGGTCCACAATTCTCCTCCGGTTTTTGGAAGGAGTTCTGTCACCTGCTGGGAGCCACAGTCAGTCTGACTTCCGGATTCCATCCCCAATCCAATGGGCAGTCAGAGCGGGCTAATCAGGAGCTCGAGAAGGCACTGCGATGCATGACTTCACGCAACCCCCACTCCTGGTCGCAGCAATTGACATGGGTGGAGTACGCACACAATTCTCTGACCTGCTCTGCCATCGGTATGTCCCCTTTCCAATGTGTTTATGGATACCAGCCTCCTCTATTTGCCAGCCAGGAAGAGGAGGTTACTTGCCCATCTGCACTTGCTTTTGCCCGTCGATGTCGCCGCACCTGGTCACAAGCCCGAGCCACACTCCTCAGATCCGTTGCCAGCTACACTACCGGGGCCAACCGTCGGAGAATTCCTGCTCCCACCTACCATGTTGGTCAAAGGGTGTGGTTGTCATCGAAGAACCTGCCACTCAGGGTGGAGTCGCAGAAGCTGGCACCTCGGTTCATTGGCCCATTCCCTATCATAAGAGTGATTAGCCCAACTGCTGTCCGGCTCCAACTGCCTAATTCCCTGAGGGTGCACCCCACTTTCCATGTGTCTAAGATTAAGCCCATCCATGAGAGTCCGCTGGTCCCTGCTGCGCCTTGTCCTCCTCCTCCACGGCTCGTCGATGGTGGTCTGGTTTACACCGTCCGCCGCCTGCTTCGGTCCAGACGGAGGGGTAGGGGTCTCCAGTACCTCATTGACTGGGAGGGCTATGGACCTGAGGAAAGGACCTGGGTGCCAGCTAGTCGGATTGTGGATAGGACTCTCATCACCGCTTTCCACCAACGGCATCCTGATCAACCTGCAATCCGTAGGGGCCGCCCCAGAGGGGTCCCTAACCGTCCTGCCCGCTCGGCTTCCTGTCCTGTGCCTGATCCTGTCTCGGGACCTGTCCCATCTCCCGACCACGGCCCTCCGGCTTCCTCCGAGGATGAGGACGTTCACTCGGACCGTTCGGAGGAGTTCTAGCCCTCCTCCGGCTCCCCTCCTCCCGCCCGGCGTGGTGTTGCTCTTGGGACTTCTGGGGCCGTCCCTTGGGGGGGGGGTTCTGTCATGAGCCTCTCACTCCACCGGGTTACCACCTTAATTTTCTTCCACTCTGCTCACCACTCTCTCTACTCAGCCTAACTAGCTCCACCTGTCCCTGCTCTGCTCTGCTCTAATTACTCTGCCAGCTGCGCTGCATTACCCACTACCTCTCCCAGTATTTAAGGCCCTGTCTTTCAGCTCTCCGGTGTCAGATCGTCTGCAAAGCTCACACCCGGAACCTGTTTGCTCGCGCTTCTGGCTCACCCTGGTTTTGTGACCCCGGTCCTGCCTGAATTTTTGGATACTCTTCTGCCCCAGGAGATCCAGACCTGCTTCTGCCATAACGACTCCTGACTACTCTTCAATCCCGGTAACTCTGACCAGCCTTCTGCCTTGCTACTACGTATTTTGGATTTCCCTTGAACTGTACTGCTGCCTTGTTTCATTCCGCCCTGTTGTGTCTGTGTCTCCCCCCCCCCAGGACTTCTGGACCACCCACCACCGGCTTCATAGGACGCATCGCTGCCACTGGGGGGGGCACAGACCCAGCACATTGGACGGGATCCCTGTTACCCCTGGAGCCTTCATTCACTCCCTACTTCCCTTTTCCCTTAAGTTTTAATAAACTTTCTGGTGTGACGCAATTGTGGTCCTCTGGTCGTCTGTCTGAATCGTGACAAACCCAGGGTAACTCACCAGTCTCTGGGAATTGCTCTGGGTCCTGGTCTGTCTGGGTCTTGGTCTAACCCAGGGTAACTCACCAGTCTCTGGGCTTTGCTCTGGGTCCTGGTCTAACCCAGGGTAACTCACCAGTCTCTGGGCCTTGCTCTGGGTCCTGGTCTAACCCAGGGTAACTCACCAGTCTCTGGGCTTTGCTCTGGGTCCTGGTCTAACCCAGGGTAACTCACCAGTCTCTGGGCTTTGCTCTGGGTCCTGGTCTAACCCAGGGTAACTCACCAGTCTCTGGGCCTTGCTCTGGGTCCTGGTCTAACCCAGGGTAACTCACCAGTCTCTAGGCCTTGCTCTGGGTCCTCGTCTAACCCAGGGTAACTCACCAGTCTCTGGGCCTTGCTCTGGGTCCTGGTCCTTCTTGTTGTCAGTGATGTCCTTGTGGGACACCAGAAACAGCACCACCTCTCCCTTCTCATTCTTAATTGGCACGATGTCCAGCAGACACCAGAACTGGGTACCTGGAACACAGAGAGACAGAGATCAGAGACACATACTGGTAGGAAGAGACAGTGAATCAGTTAAATATTTATAGTGGCAGATTGGTACAAAAACAGATACATATAAGGATGATACTGATAATGATGTACACACACACACATCATTTTAATACACACTCCATTCCTCTAGCTAATCAGATCGTCTCCAGCTGTCTACAGAAATTTGAAAAGCTCCTGCCATCCCACTGCCTCCCTATAAAACCCAGCGAACACGCTGATTTAAATTGGAAATATAGAAAAGCTATTTATACTGAATGCTCTAGTCCTAATAAGTTACAATATCAGCAAAACCCAGAAAACAACATCTCACTACCTCACTTTATGTGTAGTGTTTGTGTGTGTGCCTTACATTCTGCACCCTGAGTCAAAGCCCAGAGCTCCTCTTTTAGAGAGATATTACTGATGAGATAGAGAGAGTTGCATGCAGGATGTCTTTATTTAATAAAAGCTTTTTCATTTTAGGAAGCGTAGCTCTAATTTGGTCATTCAGAAAGTGAAATGAGCTTGGCATGAAAACAAATAAGCTAAAAAAAACAAATGTACAGCTTTATCTGAGATTGGTCACGAAGCGGACTGGAGAAATAGTTTGCTATTCTCTATTCAATTGATGTCATCCATACTGTATTCATGTACATCCACACAGCACTTCAATCATCCTTTCTTTATCATACTGTATGGAGTGTTGTGCCTGGCAGTGAGAGATGTGTGGCATGCTATATCCTCCCAGTTGTTTGGCAGGCAGGTAGGAGAGTGATAGAAGAGATAATGTGTAGAGGTGTGATGTGAGAAGTGACGGACCCAGGTCATACAGGTCTGTGAGTCTCTCTCCTCACACTGTGACCCGACTACAGATCACGGTTACACTTAATACACCCAACTCTCAGCCAAGGTGAAGGGTTTGACATTGTCTGAAAGCTGTGGTTAAAAACAGGTGTTGATGATGATGGTGATGACGATGATGATGACAACAATGATGGTGATGAAGAAAATGATGATGAAGATTAATATTATTTAATTTGACTAATCAATCTCCATCAACTATATGAAGGAGCATGAATGTGCTGGCAGGCAATATCCAACCTGTTACGATAAGCACAACATTGAGAGTATATTGAGCACCACAGCGTTCAGCATGGATGAGAAGCAGACCTACCAGAAGCACACAGCTGTCCATACACCGATTACATCCTCTACGGACTGAAACCACAGGGAATAACTATTCTCTTTGAATCTAACACAACTGGTACCTACACTACAAAACCAACTGGCTCACAATACATCCACGTGTACCATGATTTCATTTGATTTGATGCCTCACTAAGTGAATGTGAGGGTTTCTAATCAAATGCGATCAGCAACACTTAACAGCCATCATGAATCTGTGTCTTTGTAGATTTGAACAAGTCAGACCTTTCAGTGCTTCAACTGCCTGAAGAAGACAGATATAGTCGAAACACATTGCGTGCACAATAGCCAATGCATTTGTACCCAATTCATTTGTTTTCTGAGGTTTTGGTTTAGAGTGTATTCATGGTTTAAATCAGATTACACGTGGCAACTTCTATACATTTTATTTATTTTCTTGTATTTTTATATATTTCATACCACTCCACCTGTCTGTCAGTGCTACAACTGGAACATCAAAAACAAGCTTGACAAAGTCACATAACAGTGTGACATGGTGGTGGACATGTTGTGGTTGTTCATAAATGGATATGATCAAGATAAAAGAGCCTCATATTCATAGAGACAGAGTCCTATTACATGGCTGTTATGGTTAACACTGTGTTCTCTTTGTCTCAATTGGGTGTATATTTAGATGAAAGCTGGATTACATGGTGTTCAACATACTGTGTGAATATGGACATGAACTAAAGGATGAGGGACAAGGCTTAAAGAGATTCTCTGGTACTTTTGTAAAAAAAATTGTCAGTAGTTCTGAAAGTAGCTTCACGAGTCAAAAGTGGTCCCGAAAATTGCACACTACGTCAAATATGTGCAGATACAGTATGTGCACCACGTCATTGCTTTCTCTCTCTCTCGCTCTGCTGAGTGTGTATCTTGCTAGCTGTCACTCAAATGGCGAGGGGCTGAAACTCATTGTCTGAAATTCAAATTGCTAGGGGGCTAGCCCACGTGGGAGAACATGTAGGTAAAATGGTGCTGCACAGATTCTAGAAAACAGTTGCTTTCAAACTAGGAATTTCGTGGCTAATTGAGATAAGACAGTAATTCTGCTTATAGATTATGCATGTATGAACTACACATTAACACATCCAGCCCAAAGTGGGAGGTTTAAAAAATACTTACTAGTCACCAAAGTTCCGAAGCACGTCTTTAATAACCCTTGAATTGTTCTGGAGGCTCAGGTTGTGTTGTGTTAATACATGGGGATACAGGAGGGATGTGAGAACACAAGCATACACTCTCACACACATGTACACACACACACACACAAACACTTCTTCTGTTTTTATATGATCTCTTCATCTTTAAACGCTTTCAGTCCCAGGCCTTAATGAAGGAACTCACAAAACTTTACTAAATGTGTTTATTATTGTATTTCCCTGCCCCAGAAGGCTGTAAAATGCAAATGTATGCATATGCAGGGCCAATAATGCTTGAATCAATTTGTATTTGGTATTTGCTGTGCTTCTCTTTGTTCAAGGCTTATATCTTCCAGTAACAGCCGTCTAGCTCTCTACCCAGCCAAGCTAGCCTTCTACCTTTCTCGTCTAAAACCACTCGGTCTTCTCTTCAATGTCAGTTTTGTCCTTTTGTCCTTCTCCTCAAATATTATCTCTGCTATGGACCAGTTCCTTCTTGCCTCGATCTGTCTCATCAATCTCTCCCACTGGGCACAGACGTCAGTTCATCGCCTAGTTTTGATTTACATTTGGTTGAGTTGTCAACTAACGTGAATTCAGTGTGAAATCAACAAAAAATGTCACCATGTCATTGGATGTCATCACAGACATAGTGTTTTCCTTGATGGCCAAAAAGCTTAATTTTAGACTCATCTGACCAGAGTACCTTCTTCCATATGTTTGAGGAGTCTCCCACATGGCTTTTGGCGAACACCAAACGTGTTTGCTTATTTTTTTCTTAAAGCAATGGCTTTTTTTCTGGCCACTCTTCCGTAAAGCCCAGCTCTGTGGAGTGTGCGGCTTAAAGTGGTCCTATGGACAGATACTCCAATCTCTGCTGTGGAGCTTTGCAGCTCCTTCAGGGTTATCTTTAGTCTCTTTGTTGCCTCTCTGATTAATGCCCTCCTTGCCTGGTCCGTGAGTTTTAGTGGGCGGCCCTCTCTTGCCAAGGTTGTTGTGGTGCCATATTCTTTCAATTTTTTTATAATGGATTTAATGGTGCGCCGTGAGATGTTCAAAGTTTCTGATATGTTTTTATAACCCCACCCTGATCTGTACTTCTCCACAACTTTTTCCCTGACCTGTTTGGAGAGCTCCTTGGTCTTCTTGGTGCTGCTTGAATGGTGGTGCCCCTTGCTTAGTGGTGTTGCAGACTCTGAGGCCTTTCAGAACAGGTGTATATATACTGAGATCATGTGACAGATCATGTGACACTTAGATTGCACACAGGTGGATTTTATTTAACTACTTATGTGACTTCTGAAGGTAATTGGTTGCACCAGATCTTACTTAGGGGCTTCATAGCAAAGGGGGTGAATACATATGCACGCACCACTTTTCCGTTATTTATTTTTTGAATTTTTTGAAACAAGTTATTTTTTTCATTTCACTTCACCAATTTGGACTATTTTGTGTATGTCCATTACATGAAATCCAAATAAAAATCCATTCCCAGTCTGAGGTTCTGAGTGCTCTGGAGCAGGTTTTCATCAAGGATCTCTCTGTACTTTGCTCTGTTCATCTTTCCCTTGATCCTGACTAGTCTCCCAGTCACTGCCGCTGAAAAACATCCCCACAGCATGATGCTGCAACCACCATGCTTCACCGTAGGGATGGTGCCAGGTTTCCTCCAGACGTGACGCTTGGCATTCAGGCCAAAGAGTTCAATGTTGGTTTCATCAGACCAGAGAATCTTGTTTCTCATGGTCTGAGAGTCCTTTAGGTGCCTTTTGGCAAACTCCAAGCGGGCTGTCATGTGCCTTTTACTGAGGAGTGGCTTCCGTCTGGCCACTACCATAAAGGCCTGATTGGTGGAGTGCTGCAGAGATGGTTGTCCTTCTGGAAGGTTCTCCCATCTCCACATAGGAACTTTGGCGCTCTGTCAGATCAAGGCCCTTCTCCCCTGTTTGCTCAGTTTGGCAGGGCGGCCAGCTCAAGGAAGAGTCTTAGTGGTTCCAAACTTCTTCCATTTAAGAATGATGGAGGCCACTGTGTTCTTGGGGACCTTCAATACTGCATAATGTTTTTGGTACCCTTCCCCAGATCTGTGCCTCGACACAATCCTGTCTCGGAGCTCAACTGACAATTCCTTCGACCTCATGGCTTGGTTTTTGCTCTGACATGCACTGTCAACTGTGGGACCTTATATAGACAGGTGTGTGCCTTTCAAAATCATGTCCAATCAATTGAATTTACCACAGGTGGACTCCAATCAAGTTGTAGAAACATCTCAAGGAAGATCAATGGAAACAAGATGCACCTGAGCTCAATTTTGAGTCTCATAGCAAAGGGTCTGAATACTTGTGTAAATAACGTATTTCTGTTTTACATTTTTTATAAATTTGCAAAAATTTATAAAAACCTGTTTTCGCTTTGTCATTATGGGGTATTGTGTGTAGATTGATGAGGACATTTATTTAATTTTATCCATTTTAGAATAAGGCTGTAACATAACAAAATGTGGAAAAAGTCAAGGGGTCTCAATACTTTCTGAATGCCCTGTATCCTCCTACTTTGAAGGGGTAAGCAGGGTAGACTTTAGTCTAGACGATACTATCTGTCAATCAGGGCTGTGTATGTAAATATATTTCATTTTTTATCAACACGCCCACACGATCAGACTGAACATTTAAATGGCAAAAGGAGGCTCAGGGAAATAATTTTGAAATAAACACACATAGTGATTTATTAGACATAGAGTGATGATTTAAAAATAAAATGTAAAAGACTGCCTGGGGGCTTTAATCGCCGTTTATACCTGGTTCTAACAAGTGTCCTTTTTTCCTGATCCACATTCTGATTTATACCCACATTTTTTGGCAGGTTTAGATGATTAAAAGATGCATTGTGATCTGATTACCATCAGATCTTCCTGACCACCTCTGGAGGTAGTCAGATGTGTTGTGTCTGGATATCTTACAAGTTTAGACAGATCTGGACAGTGAAACCATTTAAATCATAATTATTCCACCCGCTAAAATAATTGACAGGTGTCACCATTGACTTATGGCATCAATATGTGTCTTAAAATAAATAAATACATATAATAATTTGCATACATGGAGGGACCATGATATTTGGTCACAATGCGGACACAGTGGACAGATAAGAGACATTTTACTACCATGTGTAGATGCAATGGCTACAATGTGGGCACAATCATAATGTGGATAAGATCAGGACAAAGAACGCATGCTAGCACCAGGTATAAACGAGGCTTGAGTCTGTAGAACACCAGCTCGGTCTCTCTGTCTCTCTGGGTGGTCTGAAATGGCCCCCTATTTCCTATGTAGTGCACTAGTTTTGACCAGAGCCCTAGGGGCACCCCCTGACTCTGAGTCTCTCACCTCCCTTCTTGTAGAACAGCAGCTCACTCTTAAATTCCCCCCTGTCGTCCAACGCCCCCTGGATCTTCGCCGTCAGCTGGTCGCTGGTCTCTGGCCCGTACAGGAAATGACACGCGCAGCTCTTCTGCATCAGTTCGGCGCGGGCATAGCCGGTCAGCTCACAGAAGCCATCAGAACAGTAGACTATGGGGTAGAGGGACTGTACCTGGGCGTTACCCAGGACAAAATTACTGTCTGTAGTAGAGGGGGGAGAGAGAGGGAGGGGAGGAATAGAGGGAGGGAGAGGGAGGTCGAGGGAGAGAGAGGTGAAGAGGGAAGGAGAAAGAAGAGAGAGTGGGGGTTATAAAACTGAGAAGATGACACAAGGGACATGTTGTATAGCTCTGCAATGATTCATTATCAGCCCGGCTCATTTGAGTTTCAGGTTCATTTTCATTCCAACAACTTTTGTCTTCGTAAGTAGCAGGGAATCATCAGCCTCGTATTGGGACATCATTGTGCTCCAGGAAAACCAAGAGAAAGAGCTGTGGCAGCAACCCATAACTACAGACAGACTGAGTAAGAGAGACATGAGGGGATGGCCCAATATACTGTAGACAGACATGCCAAAATGTCCTGTTCTCTAATTAGAGTTTCATGTAAAAGCCAGAACAGATTTGGTTTTCTGTCACTAACAATGCCTCATGCGGGGACAAACATGCCCCGACTTGAACCTCCATTTGTTGTGTTGATGTGTCTGGTCTCTTATTGTGGAGATGCGGGAGAGGGAGTGTGTGCGTGTGTGTGTGTGTTTCTCTGTCTTTGTATCTGTGAGTGTGTGTGTGTGTGTGTATGTCTAGTTTCACGCTCTGAATCCTGTGTGCCTGTCTCTTTGGGTGTGTGTGTTAGGTTGAATAGAACATTTGATCTGTCCCTTCTCTATTCTAGTCACCTTTTCAATTGGAGCCCGCGGCAATCGAGATGGACAAATATTCCCCTTGAGTGTTTATTGCTTTCTGCCCGGTTATTCATACTGATCCATCAATCGCAGGGCTCCTCTGGGAGCTGCTTGTGTAAATATTTCATGGTGTAATGGTTCTGGAAGGGAGATTGCTGTGTTCTGCTGTGTACTCTATGTGCTGTGTAGATGGTAGATGTTCGATGGAGGCACTCAGTTGATTTGACTGCTGTAATGAAGTGTGGGGAGAAGACTTACTAACTGTAAGTCACTCTGGATAAGAGCGTCTGCTAAATGACTAAAAATGTTTTTAAAAATGTAAAAACGAATCAAATCACTGAGACATGAACATAAATAGGATGTCAACACACCAGACTATGTGTGGGAAGGGGGTGATGATGAATGTATGTGTATGGAGATGGAGAGAGAGTGCGTGTGTGTGTGTGTGTGTGTGTGTGAGAGAGAGTTTGTGCGTGTGTGTGTGAGAGGGACTGAGCAAGATCGAGAGCGAGAAAAAGGAGATGGAAAGTTGCACAGTCAGCTAGATAGTCAAAAACTGGAGAGAGGGAGGCATAGTGGACAGTAAAGCATAGCTGGCAGCTCTGATCTGTTGGAGCCAATGAGGTTAGCCCATCCCTCAGTGTAAGCCGGTTGGGGTTGTGTGGTCTCCTCATATCTCCCAGGGTGCATCCAAAATGACACCCTAGAGTGCACTACTTTTGATGTATAGGGGAGGGGAAAAGTAGTCCACTATACAGATAATAGGGTGCCATTTGGGCTCAGTGTGGTTGGAGCATTAGGCCTATATGGGCTGCCTGGGCTAAGACTCCCTGGGGGCACACTGAACACTCACAGCCTCTGGAGGACAGCCAGATGGCCCTCAATGATTTAGCCAGCACAGTACAACACTGATCAGGCAACAAGTCTGTACATGGGAGAGAGAGAGAAACTGTGTGTGTGTGTGTGTACACATTTGAGTGTGTAGGGGTAAGTGGAACTGACAGTGATTTAACTACTTTGCAGATATGAAACAAACAAACAATCATAATATCAGTAAAAAATATAAAATTCCCAGTTTATGCTACAAGACCAACTTTATAAGAGGTTTTAAAAATAGGTTCTATTTGACTCATCATTCAATGATGTACACTAAGGCATTGTTGGCAGAATAGATGGAGGCAGTTCAATGCATGATTAATATAATTCACCAATATATTTCTTGGTAGTCCCAAAAATATTGCAATCAGGTTGTAAATCACAGCTGGCCTGGTACATTGTTTGCTGCCTCCATTCGGGATGCACTGTTTCAGTTTCAATGACTCAATACTTTGGACAAAAACTGAAAAATGTAACTAAGGCTGGGAATGTCAATACAATCAAACTAGCAAGGGCAATGATCACAAGTCAGGCATAACGTAGCTAATAGGCTAGCGTATCTATTTATGTAGCAAGCTAAAAACCCGGAGCCTAACGTTAGCTAGATAGCTAGCTAGCTAGGTGCTAGTAGGATGTCATGTCATGCCATTGGAGGAGTGGGTGAGTGACTGACCTTTTCCCCTCATATTGTTTTTCGGTGGCTATACACAGCTAGAGATGCAGGTGTCATTTGGTTAGCTAGCAAGAACTTCAATGACTGTTATCCAGTTAGCATATCTTTTGCGTTCGCAAATTTATTTACTCCGATTTCAGAGCACTGATGAATTTACGAACACGCAACACCTGCTGAATATGACCGGTGTCAGTAAACGTAGGCAAAAAAAGTAATAGTTAATTACGAACGCTCTAGATAACATGTAAACAGCCTAACCAGCTCTGCTACGGCGAGTAAAATGGTCAGAGTGAGGTGTTCTCTCATTTGTGTCTGGAAGTAGCTAGCAAGCTATCCAACTTTAGCCAGTTAGCTTGGGTGCTTGGTTGGGACAAGCATGCATTGGCAGGCAAGCTTCAGAAGGACGTTTATCAGTGCAATTTTGACGGCCAACCAGCTGAAAAAGTTTGAGAGGGTTTATCTGTCACGCCCTGGTCTTGAGAGCCCGGTTTTCTTTGGTTGGTTTGGTCAGGGTGTGAATTTCTATGTATAGATTCTATGTTTTCTAGATCTATGTTGGCCGGGTGTGGTTCCCAATCAGAGGCAGCTGTCGATCGTTGTCTCTGATTGGGGATCATACTTAGGTAGCCATTTTGCCTACCTATGTTGTGGGATCTTTACTCTTGTTTGGCTTGTTTGTGTGTAGCCATTGTGAGCTTCACGTTACGTTGCTTTTGTTGTTTTTCGTGTGTTAACTTAGTGAATAAACATGTATGCATTCCACGCTGCACCTTGGTCCAATCCTGTACTCAACGAACGTGACATTATCTAATGTTCCTTCGTTAGATTTTAGCTCATCTTGCTCTGGCTAGCAGTAGTTGTTGATCTTGTTGTTATTGATGTGCATAACTGAAGGAGAGAGATTCTACCTTTTCATGGTTGTTTGATCAATAGGACTGTGAAGTTCCCAAATGTAAGAGGACTCCCGTGGTGTTTACATATTTGCAGAAATCCATTCAGGTGTATTTTGTGACATTTGGCGAATGCATTCTAATGATCTAAAGTTGCGCTGTTGCAACTGCCTGTAAACACACAGTCCAGTTCAAAGTGATTGATGGCAGGCCCATGTGGAAAATGTATTGTTTGTATAAAGGCCTACTGTAGCTCTGATTGGCTATAGCGCACCAGTCTGTGTAGACTCTGGTCTTGGACAAGACAGATGTTTTTATTAGGTTTTAATTACTGCAGTACCTATTAATTGTCCAAACGCAAGGCCGCTTTCCCACTCTATATTGCTATAGAATTTTCACAAATGCCTTACCATACGTCATTCCCAAACACTCTAAGAATTTATGAAAATGTGAAAATGACCATATCTAAGTGCTCGCTTATCAGAAAAAGTGTCACATTCTTCCTGGGGGTGTATATGAACAGATTTTAAGAAGATTTCATGTTGCTAAAATGCCGTCAGTTCCACTTTAAGTACTGTTCAAAGTGATCAGCCCGTCAGGGATCAGCCTACTCATCAGTCAATGAGGAAATACATTGCGTTCTCTTAATCATTCTCTTAATCGTTTCCTGGAAAGCTTCCAATTCTCTTCTCACTTCCTTGAAAGCTCATATAACATCTCCTGCTGGTTCAATTCTTCTGGTTCCATTCACTAACTGATGGACGACTGCACAGGAATCAGCTACCTGAGTTTATTGCTAAACAATATATTTCCTTCTTCCAGTGGACAACCTGTGGGTCACAATGTCAACAACATAGCGATACTATGCTATGCTACACTAACATTAATGGCAACTAGGAGAGACCAAAGATTATCTATTATATTGACAAGATAGCAGAGTAACCGTTTTAACAATAGAAATACATGTCCTTAATGACTAATTAAGACATTGGTTTCTTTATAAACAATCAGCGTCTACTTGTTTACTTTGATTACGTTTTACAGTTCCCATATTAAAAAGCCAGACCTGCTGATTACATTGATCATCGTCCAGATCTCTCTCTTTTTCTTTCTCTCCTGCTTTTCTCTCTTTCTGATGCCCCCCCCTCTCTTTCTATCTTTGTCTATTTTTATCTACCTCTATCTCTGTTTCTCTCGCCCCCTCTTTCTATCCGTCTCTCCCTCCCCTCTCTCTCCCCCTTTCTCTCACTCCCTCCCCCTCTCCCTCCATCCCCCTCTCTCTATCTCTCTTCATCTCGCTTGTTCTCTCTACCTCTCCCCCTCTCTCCCTTTCTCTCTAACTCTCCCCTCTCTCTCTCTACCTCTCCCCTCTCGCTCTCTACCCCTCTCTCTCTCTCTCTCCTCATTACAGACACCTTCGTGTGACAGAGGTTCAGACATGGCTGTACTGGAGTAATTGATGTCTCAAATGTTCCCTGTGATACTGCTCACTGCTCTCTCTCTCCTCTTTACAGACACCTTAGTGTGACAGAGGTTCAGACATGGCTGTACTGGAGTAATTGATGTCTCTAATGTTCCCTGTGATACTGCTCTGTCTCTCCTCTTTATAGACACCTTAGTCTTATAGAGGTTTCAGATATGGCTGTACTGGAGTAATTGATGTCTCTAACGTTCCCTGTGATACCGCTCACTGCTCTGTCTCTCCTCTTTACAGACACCTTAGTGTGACAGAGGTTCAGACATGGCTGTACTGGAGTAATTGGTGTCTCTAACGTTCCCTGTCATACCACTCACTGCTCTGTCTCTCCTCTTTTTGTTCTTGTCTTTTTTTTTCATGAGGGTCTTGTCTCTTACTG